GCCGCGCGCCCCCCAGCGCCGCCGCCACCTCCCCCGCCAGAAGGGAGTGGGGGGCGCGAGGGCTTCGCCCCCAGGGGCCACGCCAACCCCCCTCGCGGGAGGGCCAGCCACCCTCGCCAGGCGGCAGTTCAAGTAACTCGGGCAGACCCAGTGGTGGTTCTCCTCCTCCAGGGATTTTGCCCCAGGGTCCGTAGCCTTTGGAGCAGCAGCCAAAACCGGCTCAGTATCGGAGGCAGCACCCTGCTCTGCAGCCCTCCCCTGGTTGGGGGGAGCAGGGCTGCACCCCTGCCCCCCACACCGCAGACTGATCAGAAGGGACTATCTGTGTACACACACACACACACACACACACACACACACACACACACACACACGCCGCGCACAGCCCCGTCAGCCTCTGGCCCACAGGCAGCCCAGGGGGCACCTCGGGCAGCGGGTGACGGGTGCTGAGACACAGGGTATCACAACCGCGTGCTTGCACACCCGTTCGTTCTAGAACAGGCGTTTCGAACGTCCAGCCCAAGCCAAAGCATCAGCACAGGACCAAGCAGCAGCAGCGACGGGGGCTACGCGGGGTCGAATCCCCCCTCCTCGCTCCACAGTGCTTAGAGCTGGCGCAGAGCACCCCTGGGTCTGCTCCCACCCCAAAACATTGCACAGACCATGCCATGCCCTTCCCAGCAGGCCGGGTCTTCTCTCCAAGCCCAGCGGCCCTGGGCGCCACGGAGTCTCAGGAAGCCGCGTGTCCCTTGCATCTCCACGCTGGCAGGACGGTCTCCCCGCTGCTCCTGCACACGTGGCGGGGCACACGTGGCTGCTGAGGTGCAGGCGGGCGAGGAGACTCCGGCACCCCCCTCGAGGCAAGGCTCCCTCACTGCCCCAGCGCGCCTCCGGGCAAAGACTCCACGTAGGACAGCGCGCTCTGCAGGGAGGTCAGGCAGTAACCCTCCTCGCCGATCAGGTACCTGGCACGGAAACAGGAGATCAGGGCGCCCTCAAAGCCACAGGGAGGGATTTCAAGCAGCCTCGGTAGCACAACCCGCCTCGGAGAGACTCCCAGCCCACCCCCCATGTGCTGCAGACACAGGGCTAGCCCTCAGCAGCTCCCCAGCACACACCGATCACCTTCCCCCAGCTCATCCCACACCCGGGCAAGGAGGCAGCACAGAACTGAAGCGCCCCTCTCTTTCCCAGACCACTGGCCTCCACGCGCCCTCAGCAGTGAGTGCTCCGGGTTAACAGCCAAGCGGCAGATACATTCCATACTGGCTTCCATGTCAGAAAGAACCCTACCGAAAATTAAATCTGAAACCGACAACCCATGGTGAGGCCGCAGCTCCTTCTGCGTTATAATCATGGACATGAAATGCAATAAGCAGCAGCGTCTGCTGCCAAGTTGTAAAGAAAGCCAGAGCTTTGAACGGGAGAAAGTCCCTGGCTAAGCCCTTAGAACCTGACTTTGGGGAAGGGCCAAATCAGCCTGAGACAGGCGCAGGCGCAGGGAGAATGTTCCCTTTGCTGCGGTTCATTCAAAGTTAAGAAACCAGCTTGTTTCCCTCCCCCATTCAGGGAACACACGCTGGACGCGAGAGGATGAGCTCTACTAGCTCTACTAGCTCTATTGCTCTGGAAGACAGTGACCAGACTCCAACCCTGCAGTTCACTAACTACAGACAATGCTGCTATTCCCGTCCCGCCCCCCGCCCGGCCCTACCCCTCGTGGATAAACTCCTCCAGCGCCGCACACTCCGCCGCCAGCTGGGGGAGGTTGCTCTTCAGCACCACGTAGGACAGGATGGGCAGGAGGTCGTCGGCACCACTGCAGGGGACAGAGGTCGGTGTCGATTCTCCCCATACGGCTCCAGACCCAGAGCACCGGCTTGAGCTCGTCACCCCCCCCTTCCCCCGGGCACCATGCAGCAGTTTCCCTGCCTGGGGAGACTATTTACCCAGATGGTGCCCTTCCTCCCAGAGGTGCTGCAAGACCCGCTGGCTTGCTAAATGCTTTGCGATCCCCATGTGGAAAGGGCTAGGGAAGAACCCCACCTTCCCAACCCCCAGGCTGCCAGCCCAGCCTGGAACCCACACCGGCCAGGGGAGTCCCTGCAGACGTGCACCCCTACCACCCCCCCCAGGCCAGTGACACACAGGAACGGACGCCACCCTCCTGCTTTCGCACGCCCCTTCCCATTGGCGCAGAAACGTCACCCGGTCAGTGGCAAAGGAGTAAACCTGGCGTCTGTCAAGAGGGGACTAGATGGGAGGGGTCATTGCATCCGGCTTGTGGGGGGGCCTGAGACTGTGCCGTGGGGCAGGACCGAGGGGTGCTGGCCAGGGGCCCCCAGGAAGGGCTGCAGGCCAGGAGAGGAGCTGTGGCAGACCCCCAGGGGCAGGGAGCAGCGAGCGCCAAGGGCTGCAGTGAGGGTCCGTGCATGGGAAATGAGCCGAGCCGCAT